GGAGAAGTTATTTGCAAATGACATATCAGATAAAGGGTTAGTATTCAATATCTATAAAGAACTTATCAAACTCAACACGCAATAAACAAACAATCCAGTGAAGAAATAGGCAAAAGACATGAATAGACATTTTTCCAAAGAAGACAACCAGATGGCTAACAGATACATGAAAAAATGCTCAACATCACTCATCGTCAGTGAAATACAAATCAAAACCACATGAGATACCACTTCACACCAGTCAGAAAGCCTAAAATTAACAACTCAGGCAACAACAGATACTGGCGAGGATGTAGAGAAAGGGGAACTCTTTTGCACTGCTGGTGGGAATGCAAACTGGTGCAGCTACTCTGGAAAACAGTATGGAGGTTACTCAAAAAACTAAAAATAGAACTACTCTATGACCCAGCAATTGCACTACTAAGTATTTATCCAGAGGATACAGGTATGCTGTTTTGAAGGATCACATGCACCCCAATGTTTATAACCATGCTGTTGACAATAGCCAAAGTATGAAAAGAGCCTAGATGTCCATGGACATACGAATGGATAAAGGAGATGTGGTATATATATATACAATGGAGTATTACTCGGCAATCAAAAAACAAAACAAAACAAAAAGAAATCTTCCCATTTGTAACAACGTGGATGGAACTAGAGGCTATTATGCTAAGTGAAATTAGCCAGTTAGAGAAAGACAAATATCATATGACTTCTCTCATATGATGGAATTTAAGATACAAAACAGATGAACATAAGGGAAGGGAAGCAAAAATAATATAAAAACAGGGAGGAGAACAAAACATAAGAGACTCTTAAATACAGAGAACAAACTGAGGGTTGCTGGAGGGGTTGTGGGTGGTGGGATGGCTAAATGGGCAATGGGCATTAAGGAAGGCACTTGTTGGGATGAGCACTGGGTGTTATACATAGGGGATGAATCACCAGATTCTAGGCCTGAAAGCATTATTACACTATATTCTAACTTACTTGGATGTAAATTAAAAAAGAAAAAGAAAAAGAAAAAAGAAAAATCAAAGAAAAAAAATACAGATAACTAATAGGCATTTCAAAGCTACTCATCTTCACTAAACAAATTAAAGCACTGAGATAAAATTTTTCTCCAATTAGTTTGGCAAAATTCAATAAAATGTCATCCTATAGAGATAGGAACATTCCTAGATATGACTCATTAATACCATCAAGGAATTTCACCTGATGTAACATCCAGAAGCATTTACTACAGCATTGATTATCACAGCAAAAAAGAAAAAAAAATGGCCCAACATAATTGTCCATCAATATAGTAATGAATAAATAAACCATAAGAATAATTACAATGGAATATAATACAAAAATTCAATTCAGTAGTTGAGTTTAAAAGACGGAAGTTCATGAGATGGTAAAGAGAAATATGAAGGCTGAATAAATTATATGGACACTTTTCATTAAAAGGAAAAAACCTACATAGGCAGAAGCAAGTGAGTGAGCCACAGTTTCATAGAGGCTGGAAGATGATATGAGAGTTCTGGGTCAGAGACTAGGGACAGTTTAGTATTCACAGTAACAAGCACAACCAGAGTATGCGTATTTGCACCAATTCCTCCAGCCACAATTTCCAGAGACCTGAGAATCAGGCCAGATGATGTGGTCACATATAATGGGTTGTGTTGGAGGAGAGGAACCCTGAACTTAGAAAACCCAAATATTTTATACTAGGCAGTAAAAGCCTGCCTGGTCTCATCTTTATCATAAGGGAGACATTACATTTATTATGCTGCTTAGTAAAAAACCAAAAATACACCTACTCTTTGCTCAGGAGGCAGACACTATATCTTCCAAGGCTATTCATTATAAACATTTTAAATATAGTCCTGAATAAAAGCACTGAGTGCCTCTTCCTGTAAGACTTGCAGTAACATGAAAGACTCACGGAGAATTCCATGAATTCTCAATATTCTATTTCATTCTCATTTTGTGTCAACAAACAAAAAAATTGTAGCTGTCAATTAAAATGATATATCATTTTACCAAAACTTAAAACAATGAAAATGTTGATACTCTGCTTATCAAATATCATAAAAAGATATATTTATACATATAAGAATATGCTTTGATTGTGGGTGATTATGTTGCTCATTCTCTGTACATTCTTTACAGTAGAAAATGACAGATAATGATGATTTTATATAATAAATATTTTTTAGTCACTTGGAAAAATAGCATCCAGACTTATTACTGCCCTAATTACTCAGGGCAAAATTAGGAAGATAATATTTTAAAAAATTATTTAGCTTTAAAGATAACCATCACATGCATATTTTTTCTCACATATTTTCCACTGAAAAATGTTTCTTAAAAAACAATTATATGTCAACAACTCAACAAGAATCTTTCATTCTGAGAATAACACACATTACCTGTCTAGAAGAATGTAATTAAATAATAGATTTTTGTGCTAAACTTTCAACTTCTTCATTTTACTATTAAAGGAACACTTAATGTGCAGAGACATTAAGCGACCTGACAGTGGCCAACAACTAGTTAATGTCAGAGCTGAGACCAAACCCCACATGCCCTGACTTGGAGCACAGGCTCTTTCTTCTTATCCAAAGCCACATACATGATACGATAGAGCTTTCAAACTGGGGTATGCATACCCCTGCAGGCAATGACAGCATGCCAGGGAGGTAAAGCCACAGGATAAACACAGGGTGTCTTGCCTCAATGTAAATATTACTCAAAGATTTGAGGGAAGTTAGGGGGAGCAACTTTATTTTTATACTAAAACAAGATTGATTGTAAAGCAGAATGTACATTTTACATGGATTTTTCAAAATTCAAGCTGAATTCCTCAGGCTAGACTCCCATCTCATGGAGGTTAAAAAATCTCTCTGCTCACTCTGTTAAGGATGCTTTTTTTTATAAAAACGTGATACCACCCATGTGAGGATTTCTATGATGTTCCTTTACCAAAAAAGTACTTCACTAACCTCCATCTTTGACATTCCATAATTAAATTTGCATTATTTTAGTCCTCATGATCAGTTAAATGGTGAATTTTTCTCCAAGAGAGAACACATTAAGACCCTATAATAAATGAGTTCCTGAGTTCCTTTACTAAAATAGATTTTTTTTTATTTCTTTTTTCTTCTTAATCAACATTAAGTAAAAAAGATTTTTTAAATAAGGATAAAATTTTTCAATGTAATCTTAGTAGAAATTATCTGCTTAGTTTACTTATGTAAGATGCTCCATAAAAGTATTTTGCATATGATTCTAATACTCGCATGTGTATGATGTACAAAAGCGAGCAAATAGTATATACTCCCATTTTTTCACGTAGCATCTACATGAATGATAATCTGAAATTATATAACTCATATTAACAGCAAAAAGGGACCAATAAATTATTTTATGCATTTTCTCAGTGGATCATTCCTCTCAACTGATTTTTACTTCTGGGATAAAAACCACTTCAACAAACACTCTCAGATAATTACTCCTGTGATAACTTGGTAGACGCTTACCCACCCACCTCCACCAGACCCAAATACTTTCAAGAAGTACTAAAAGAGTGTGTGTTTGATTTCTCTACCGAGACAGTTTTGAACGCTCTAACCCAACACCAGCATTTTTTTTTAATGCAAGTAGCCTGACTTATTTCTAAAAGCTACATTTAATTTTTAGATTTCAAGTTCAAATTTGGACCCACGCAACCAACTCATACAATTGAACCAACGTTTACTGAATGCAGTGTACTCGGCCTTGGCAGAAAATAGTGATGGCACAGACAGATCTCAAGCATCCCAAGCTAGAGGGAAACAAAACTCACATGAACAAGATCACATGACAGCCCATGCAAGAGGTTCCAATGGAACTAGGGGATCCAACAAGCAAAAAAAAAAAAAAGACTTAGAGATTGGAAGAGACTTGCAAAACAGCGACTCAACTTACCCATTTTCTGTCAGAGGGAGGACTTCTCAGCTACTCAGCCACCATGCTCTTCACAATAAGATCCACCAAGAGTTCCATTTTTCTGTGCACCTGGAATCGTGGGACTCCTCCATAATGCCACCTCCGTGCCCATCCTAAGACTAGGTCTAGGATTAAGCAAGTTAGACATTGGCCTTAGTTCAAAAACGTAAGGTATTCAAAGTCAGCAATCAAAATAAATGTCTTAGGCAATATTTTTTCTTAGAAATTCAAAATTAATACAGCAGCATTCATGAGAGGCGGAATGTCAAAATTGTAAATAAAGGCAGGATTAGCGGTACTGATTTTTTCCTTTTTCCTACAAGCTCCACTAGGGTTCTGCGGGGTGTACCTTCATCCCCAGCCTCCTCGTGGTGGTCAGTGGTACATCTAATTTTCAGAGAGCTGCGTTGATACTTAGAGCTCAAATCAATGACATTATTATTACTGGGAGACTGCCTTTGGGGTGTTCTCTCGCACTCTGGTATATATAGCTGATCACCTGCTCTCTGGCATCCACAGCACGCTTCCCCGCATCCCGGGGAAACAGGAGTGTGTCCAGGGTGTAACGTGATGGACGCTGCAGGGCCACACGTCACAGAAGTCAGCGACTGCCTTCAAATCTTCCCTAGTTTGGATTGGTTTTTAGTTGACGAGTTTGCGGTAACTGTTGGTAACAGAACAATGAGCTGCGGGCTGGGCTGGCTGGATAGGAGGTGCTGCTGGCCTCCTGGGTGCCCGGATGGCCTGGGCCGCTAACCATCTGGCCCGCACCTTCAGACACTCAACGCGCGTAGTCAGTGTTCCGGGAACTGCCCTGGAGATCAGCCTCAGGGTGAGCGGTGCCCTCTTCTCCAGGCCACGAACCCTTGGATCCCTGCGCCAAAGCCCCAGTCAGTTGGAGGCCGCCAGGTGGGGTCGGGCCGGAGGGGGTGCAACCACGGCAAACCCCAGGCCCTGCGCTGGGGCTCGGGGTCCGTAATCTCCGGGGTAGGGTTTGGGGGTGCCTCTGGTCCACACTAGTGGACCGACGTGAACCTTTTCCGGCTTGCCATCTGCCGCATATATAACAATGGCGGTTTAGGGAGTAGGCGAGAAAGACATAATCTTGGAGTCTTGGCTCTCCAACAAATATATATAACCCGGAAACGCCATTCCCTGAAATGGCATTTCTTCTTTGATGGACAGTACAAGCAGAGTTGAGGGCAGTTAAGATAAAGGCTTAAAGAATGTTTGAGTGGGGAAAAAAATGTCAGAAGTGTTAGACATAGGAGCTAGTCAAGTGTTGAAGGGCTCTTGGGTTTCTCTGGAAAGGCTTGGGGCTACCATGGAAATCAAGGCTGGGGTTCTGTAAGGAACTGAAGCTCCTGACAGTAAGTCCTAACTAAGCTATGGTGCATGTGAGTTGCATGTAGCTATAGGAGTTTATCTATCATCAGAATACATAAATCATCAAAGACAATCTTTCTTCTATAGATTCTGATGTAGACTTCATTCTTCTGGGATTTAACAGTTCCACAATTATCGAACTTTTTTTTTTTTTCTGTTTTATCTAGATCCTAAGGCATCAGGGCAGTGGAGGAAGCTTGCTGCTATCCTCCCTGTGCCAGATTGGATTGGCAATTCCATGTTGGATTGCTTTTATTTCCCTGGTTGGTTAACCAGTTAATTAGAAATCTGACTGTTCCCGCTCATCAGACAACTGACATTGTTGTCCAGATTCAACACCTTTTCTGAGTAATACCCTCTACCTACTACCTTACATAACACTGCAGATTCAGATTCTGTTTTCTTGAGGGGCACCAGGGTGGCTCAGTCAGTTAAGCATCCAACTCTTGGTTTCCACTTAGGTCATGATCTTCCGGTTCCTGAGTTCAAGCTCTGCATCAGGCTCTCTGCTAACAGTGTAGAACCTGCTTCATATCCTCTGTTCCCCCCCCCCACTCCTCCATTGCTCTCTATCTCTCTCTCTCTCAAAAGTAAAATTAAATTAAATTAAATTAAATTAAATTAAATTAAATTAAATTAAAAAACATTTAAAAAAATAACAAATTCTACCTTCTTGAAATTTGTTTTCTTGGCTCCCACTCTGCTCTTGTTTCTCCGAACTTTGTGAGCATTCTCCCAAACCCCCTTCCTTCCGCTCTCCCAGCCCAATTCCCTCCTCTCTATAAATGGAGACACCTGCCGACCATCTAACTTGGGTCCCGCTCCCTCCTCTGTAGGGACCTGACTCACCACGATGTGCATACCCACCCTGACATCTCTGGTGAGATCCACACTTCCACCTGCAGCTTTCTGGTGGATGTCTCGACCCTGTGTCCCAGCCACCAGCGCCACAGTTTCAGCATTTCCAGCTGAATTCACTTTCCCTTCCAAGACACCTCCTCCTCTTCACGTCCTCACATGATCGTCACCACCTGTGACTTTGCTCGCCCTCGTTCTCAACCTTCTTATTTGCCAGTTGCCATCCGTTCTCTCCGCACACCCTCTGTCCTGTCTGTTTGGCACTCATTCCCGCTTGCGACTCTCCTGGGGCCTCGCCCTGATTTGCCAGTGGCAGCCGTGCCTCCCACCTGCCGTTGTCTCTGCGCCTCAGCCGATCGTACCTGTTCCGCCTGCTAGAGTCTTCTTCCTGAGGCCTTGCTTTGTCACAACTTTTCTGCAGTTTAAACATCCCTTAATTCCTATTGCCCCAGAATGGAGTCTAGTGCTGAATTAATCACTCCAGAGTTCTCAAGCCCCTTGTTTTAGAGTACCAGCACAGCAAGGGCACCAAAAGAGATGGAAGAAAAATGTCTTTCAAATAACTTGATGTTGGAGAGTGTTTAAAAGCATGGATGTAGTTATGACGGGAAAAAAAGAGAACTTTGTTGGACTCTCTTGCGCTGACTTTATCATGTTGCTAAAATATGTATTTCATATATATGTTATAAAATGAAATTGATTTTAAGTTACAGATTACGTACAACATGTGATTTTAAGTTTGAGTTCTTCGGGCCTATAAAAGTTTTGTTTGCACAGTGAGTAAGTGCACACTTCGGAGCACAGATAATACGACGCCAATCCACCTTTCTTAGTATATATTTCTCACAATTACCTTCCACAGGCCTTTCACTGCATTCAAAGACCACAAACCATACATGTGTCATACTTTCTTTCCTTGCTTCTTCTCCATTGTGTATTTGCTCCCTTCTGATTAGAAGCACGCTCATCAATATTCTGTTTTTAATTTCTCATTACCCTTTCAGGTCCAGCCTAACTGTCACTCATGCCCTGAAATGTTCGTGGAGTTCCTAGGCTGACAGTAATTTCTTCTCCCTCTGTATTCATCAGAGCATATCCTCATTGTCCCATATCCCTTAACACCTGTAACCTTCCTTTACAGCTCTGTGTGTCCTGTGCTCTCTGAGTAAAAGCTTTGCTCACAGACAGTGGACACCTTACCTGATTCATCACTACATTTATTCGCTAGTCTAATAAACTAAACTAGTCACCACTTGAACTAAGCACTCGGGGGTCTGTGGTTCAGCAAATGATGGAACCACTATTTTAAAAATGGTCCATCTTAGAGAATGCTGTTTTCTGCAGCTGCTACGGAAATGGTATGGTGTTTTCTCAAAAAATTGCACATAGGATTACCATATGATCCAGCAATCCCACTTCTGAGTATATTACACTCCAAGGAAGTGAAAACTGGGACTCAAATTGATGTTTGTACACCCACGTTCTTAGTGGCGTTATTGGCAAAAACCAAAAGATGGCTGCAACCGAAGTGTCCATAGACTGAGAAATGGAACAACAAAATGTAGTAAATACCTATGAAAAAATATTATTCAGCCGTAAGAAAGAAGGAAATTCTGACACACACTACGACATGGGTGGACCCTGGAGACAGTATGCTAAGTGAAATTAACCAGGCATAAAAGGACAGATATTCTCTGATTCCGCTTAGGTGAGGTACCTGGAGTAGTCAAATCCATAGAGAGAGAGAACTGAAGGATGGCTGCCGGAGGGCTGGAGGAAGGGGGAAAGTGGGCAGTTAGTGTTTAACGGGTACAGAGTTTCATCTGGGGAAGAACAAAAACTTCTGGAGATGGGTGGTGGCCACGGTTGCACTACCATGTAAATGCACTCAATGCCACAGCACTATACCATTAAAATAGTAAATTCCATGTTATATATATTTTACCACAATAGAAACAGAGTTCAGGGAATGAATGCTTGTTGTGCTTCTTTAGATGAAAGGGATATGCTGCTCGTGAAGTTGTGTGTTGATTGGGACCTGGAACTGCTCCACCACGGATGCTCTGAAACTTGAAACTTCTTGGCACGTTTTCGTGTTCTTTGGCACTTCGACATTAATACTTGTTACTAGATTCATACCAAATTTTTGGTTGGAAAGAAACATACCATGATTAAAAGCTGTGTAAATAATTACACCAGCGATTTGCATATTATGCTGATTGTTTCAATTTCCCTTTTCATCTCTTCATTTTCAAAATTTGACTCAAATCCTTACAATATTTATTCTAAATTTTCAAAGTTTGTGTCAGTTTCCAATTACTGAATTAATATGTACTTCTTAAAATATCCAAAAATTATTTTCAAATGTACAGGTTAGAAAATGAAAGTCCCCCATGATCTCAAATGATAACTTTTGTTACCGACTTGGAGTGTGTGCAAATGCACACATGTATGTGTACACATGTCATTGGTAACAAAAATGGTATTAGCACATGTTATACTGCCAATGGCATTTTTACTTTTGGATATCTTTATATGTTTAGATATCTGTCTCTATATATTTTTAAGCTACTACACTATATTCTTGTGAAGTTACATGTTAATGTAACCTATATTCCAATAAAGGGGGCATATTTCACAAATATAGAAAATGTATGCTGAGATGAACAATCATCTTCACATTGTGTGTGTGTGTGTGTGTGTGTGCAGGTACACACACATATGCAGACTAGTATATTTTTGAGTGCTAGGTGTAGAATGGTGGAATTGAGTTAAAAGCCCGTTTAAAACTTTCACGGAGAGCTGCAAATTGTTAATTCTACTTTGGCTGGATTTTAACATCCCAAACACTTTAACACACTTGCAATTGGCTGTTTATAGTAGAAGCTGATAGTTTAGATGGTTAAGTTAAAATATCCAGATCCAGATGCCTAAGCCTGATCCAGTGGGTTTATCCAAGCCCCCAATTCAGCTTGCTCTTTATAGAGTCACAAAACGCCCTGATGGAAATGCCTCCACCTGAGCCAATGAGTTCTCTAAGCCCCAAGATCCACCTTGTGTAACAAGGTAACAAAGGAAGTTTGGGAAATACATTAACAATGACTCTCAATCCCTGGTATATCTATCTTCCTCTCTTCTTTCAATATTTGTTCATTCCATTAAATCTAACTCTTCTTAACGTCCTCTACTAAATAACAAAGCTATTGTCAAAATTTCATAAATCGCTGACAACACAACCTCACCACCCACGACAAATCCCAGCTGAAATTTGGTGATTGTTTTGACTCTGATAATTACAATGTTTATAAGATTCCAGTAGTGCAACAATTATACTTTCCACTTTTGTTGTGTCTTGTTAGCTTTATTCCTTCATGGCAAATTATAGATGGGCTTTAATTTTTCCGTATCATTTTAGGCCATGTGGCTTGTAAATGTTATTTTGTAATTTAGCAAAGGCTCTTAAAAAGAAAAAGCAAAGCACTTAAATTGCTGTTGTTGGATTTGTATTTTCAAAACAAAGCCTATGGGAATAAAAATTACTTCTTTCCCATCAAAAATTCCCACGGTGCAAGTATGTTAGTAACTCGTGAAAAATGAAGATACTGTTCCTTTGCAAAGAAAGGGAAATAATATCTATTCACTTTTTCATTGGTCTGATGTTTATTGAGAAATTACAATGTGAAACACCTGTACAATAATATGTATTGTATCCTACTCTACCTGCAATGGTGATACCAAGGATCTTCTGTAAGCTTTATGAAAAAGCTACCAAATATGAATTCTTCATGTTTGAAAGAACATTTAAGAATATTTAAAGGCCAAATCATTCTGCCTCATAGAAAATCAAAAACTTGCTTTTGGGAGCACGTGGGTGGCTCAGTCGATTAAGTGTCCAACTTAGTCTCAGGTCATGATCTCATGGTTCATGGGTTTGAGCCCTGCATCGGGCTCTGTGCCGATAGCTCAGAGCCTGGAGCCTGTTTCAGATTCTCTGTCTCCCTCTCTCTCAGGCTCTCCCCTGTTCACATTCTCTCTCTCTCTCTCTCTCTCAAAAATAAATAAAAAAATTAAAAAAAAACTTGCTTTTGGTTAGTATGTACACATACAAACTTTTTTCTTTTTTATTAAAAATTATTTACACATCTGTGCCCAGGATTAAGGATAATGAAATTCAACCACAAAAATGATTAAATAATATATAATTGTAGTGTTGAAATTTATTAGTTTAGAGTGGTTGCCTCCTTATTCACCTTTCTTTTGATCTTCTTGTAGATGTTATTGTTATTGACTGCAAATGTCTCTGTATTTTTGCTCAGTGGAATGTGGCTTGACAGATTAATTATATGTTATCAGGCAGTTGAAGATCAGCTAAAGATATGTGGCCACAAGAGGGATGCTGATGTCTTTGAGCTGTTCCTTTCTCAAAAGTAAGTGTCCTTTATATAAGAATTAGAAGAGCATCATATTATAATGTTTCACAGATTCACATGTTCTTTTCCATTGTTTTCCCCAAGGACTGGCTAGGCAAGTACCAACCTCTAATTACTTTACCATTCACTGGTGTCTCTATTAGAAAGGCAAAATTAAAATGGATAAAAACAAAGATTATGGAGCCAGGCTGAGTGTGAATCCCAGCTCTGTCTCTTCCAGCTGTGTAATCTTGGGCATGTCATAAAACTTAGGGTTGTCAGATTTAGCAAATAAACATAGAGCAAGTCCAGTTATATGTGAGTTTCAGAGAAACAGATGAATATAATTTTTCTTTAGTATTAAGTATGTCTTACACTTCCTTGGGTTTCTCTGAAATTCACATGTAAATGGGACTCCTATTTTACCTACCATGGCTCCTGCCTGAGTATAACAATGCTATCTGCTTTACAGGGTTGTTGGGTGTAGATTAGGTGTGATAGTAGAAAGTAAAGGGCCTGGTTGACAGTAAGCACTCAGTGAGCATTAATACAGTTAATATTATTACTGTTATTACAGAATGGCGGCTCATTATACCTCTGTACTATAATAATAATCCTATTATATTATACCCCTAGCCAACAACCCCTATACTAATTTTACAGGTGAGTAAGAAAACCTCTTCCTGTAACAACCCCCTTTCATGCCCCTCCAACTCCCCAAGGTGGGAGAGGCAATGTCGGCTCTTCTACAGAGCAGTCACAATGCCTGAGATAGAACCCCATGTATAGGAGGAAGATGAAGTTATGGGTTGGACTGGACCACAGTTTTTACTAGCCAACAAGTGACATCTGTGCGGCTATACTTTGAATTTAGTAACAATGACCCTACTCCTTACTCTCCTTTCCCCCTTTCATGCTTTTCAATCTCTATGAATTCTATGTATTATTTTAAAATAGGCTAGACATGGGGCGCCTGGGTGGTGCAGTCGGTTAAGCGTCCGACTTCAGCCAGGTCACGATCTCGCGGTCCGTGAGTTCGAGCCCCGCGTCGGGCTCTGGGCTGATGGCTCGGAGCCTGGAGCCTGTTTCCGATTCTGTGTCTCCCTCTCTCACTGCCCCTCCCCCGTTCATGCTCTGTCTCTCTCTGTCCCAAAAATAAATAAATGTTGAAAAAAAAAATTAAAAAAAAAATTAAAAAATAAAATAAAATAGGCTAGACATATTTCGACTCATGTTATCTTTGGAACTCAGCTACTTTTTAAAGCAAATGTCCCACTCTATCTATCATTGAAGTCAGTCACTTTATTGCTGGTGATTTGTGGAAATCCTTTATTAATAAACATATTTCTTTTGTGATGTATTTTTTTTTAGATTATAAGTGCAGAGAAAAATATTTATCTTGGTAACATTTCTAAATCTCTTGATAGTAACAAAAAAAAAGAGCTGGCCAATTTAAGATTTTTAAAAATGGGTATTTTAGAATGGAACAGATATAGTAGATAATTCTGACACACTTAAAGTCATGCTTTGAATCTCTCTAGAGATCAACTAGCTTTATAATAATAATACATATTTTATGTGGCCAAAGATCGCATCTCTAAGCCTTTCATGATTTTAACATCTGTGTAGTACAAGGGTATGCAGATAACAATAAGAAAAGCTTTGAAACACTAGAAAAAAATAGAAATATTGATCCTCTGACAGTGAGTAATTACTGGTCTTCTCAACTAAAGGACAATACATTTTATATCCTAAGAATACTAAATTATGATTTAATACATCTGGGTACAAAAACTATATGTATTTCTCTGCCCGGATACCATTAAACTGGGTAAACTAGGCTATTTGTTGGAGTCTCTGTTGCCAAACAGGAAAACAAAACAAAATAAAACAACAACAACAAAATCAATTATTTCCTTGAGTAATCATGGAGAATGCATACTGTGACAACAGAGCTAACATGTTATTGTCGCCATAAGTCGTTGCCATCATTAGTCGTAGGATTTCTTCTCTTTGTCTTCCACTGGCATCACCCCCGAAATAAAGGGCAACAGCCCTTTATTGATTTCTAACAGGTTTATGTGCAGAATTTACCCTTCTGACTTAATGAAAGTCCTTTTAAAAGGGAATCAACTTTATTACCTTATATAATACAACTAGTACAAGAAAATTAATGACCTTAATTTGACACAATTGATATTTCAAAGTATTAATGTATTAAAATAACTTTTCTGGGAAATCCTTGGGGAAATCCTCTAAGTGGGGCTTGAGTTTCTCTCCTACCACATAATGATTGTTTTATTTCTCATGGGAACGGATGAAGTTAATGTATTATCATTATTGCCCAGTGCAATAATTTAGGTGTACCAGGATCCAAATTCTTCTTCCCAGAAATAGGCTGCATATCTACAGTGGAGGAGAATGCATTATGCGTATATGTCTCCTATTAGGAGTTGATTTGAGGAGTCTGGAATATTTTGGGTACCAGAGAAGTGTTCAACAACCAAGAGTGCATGTCTAAAGGACATGTACTCTGCTTGAAGTCTTTTGTTTGGGATACTCTGAGAATTAAAAAACAAAACAAAACAAAACAACAACAACGGAAAAGGTTTAAGAAAAAACTCTTCAAATACAAGTAAGGTGTGGAAGAGAATGACTGAAAGAAAGAAAGGGCAGGGGTGGATGTTCTTTCCAAGTTTTTACTGAAATTCCACTTGGTTAACATGCAGTGTAATATTAGTTTCAGGTGTAGAATTTAGTGATTCGTCACTTACATATAACATCTGGTGCTCCTCACAAGTGCCCTCCTTGATACCCATCTTAACAGAATACCAGCTAATAAGTGTAAAAAGAATGAGAGCATCAGAAAAATCAGCATTTTATAATCCCAAATCTTCTGATTCACTAAGTATCATCAACCGAAGCTAAATCCATTGAATAAGTTATTGGGGGACAAGACATACACACAGTCGTTAGAGTTTTGCCCCACACATAACTGCTCAATGACAACATTCATATACTTTTACAATGGAGAAACTTGGCAGATGCAGCCTGAACCCCATGACTGAACTTCCTTCACCAAGAGTGGGGCAAAGTGGCATCACTTGCTTCATAATGTGACGCGGCAATCATTACCTTTGTAACTGAAAAATGGCCCTCCTTGAATTTAATCATGAGGAAGCCATCAGACAAATCAGGAATGTGAGACATTCTCTCAGAAAAATGTCCTGGGCTCTTCACATAGTCAGTGTGAAGGTCATAAAAGGAGACGGAGTGACTATTCTAAATTTAACAAAACTAAGGTATTATACCAACTAAAAATGCAGTGCATGAATACTGATGGGATTCTGGATTGAAACAAAGATGTGCAGGAGCAACAGGGACGACTTGAATATGAAAAGCATGGTAGACGATATTATTGAATTCAATTTAATTTTTAGGGGTGATAATGGTATTGTACCTCTGCAGGAGAATGTCCCTATTTGAGGGATACGCATGCTCAAGTGTTTAAGAGCGAGAGCCCTACGATGGTAAGTCTGCAATTTATGTTGAAATGGTTCACCAAGAAAACTATCAAACAATAAGGACATATATTATATAGATTGGAGATAGCGAGCAGAGGTGTGGCAAAATATTAAAAATTGCGAGGGCTATCCAAGCTTTCAATGTACTATTCCTTCAACTTTTCTGAATTTTGAAATCTCTCCATATGAAGAGTCGGTGAGAAAGTTTCTTTTGTTTAGAAATGTTGTTTGCATGATTTAGAAAATACGTTTTCACAAAAAATAGGAAAATACTAGTCCCTCAGTGTCGCAAAGCCAAAAAAAAAAAAATTGTGAAAGGATGTTACCACAAATGAGTTAATGTATATAATATTAATTAACATTAACAATTTTTAATGGCTTAGAAAAGTGCCTGCCACAGAGTGTGTGCTCTATGCCAATGTTTGATAGAGACATATATGTGTACGTACCCAGCCTGGGCACACAGTTTCTGCCATTAGAAATAAAAGAGATCTGAATATTTGAGCCCATAGCAGTCAAGGGCTGACTATTCTCAGGATTTTGCCCACTTCACTGATAATTCCCCCTCTCCACCCCAGGCCTGTCCCTTTGCTGAGTGAGCCACATAGCAACAGGACTCAGGACCACCTGTATGATTCAAAAAGGATGGTGATATTTTGATCCCATATTTAATAAACAACAAAGGAAGAATAAAACACTACCTAGTCTCTGTCTTTTGACATACTGCCATTTCCATGTCTTAAGTACAATGTGGCCAAGATCTGGACAACCCAAAGTAAGAACCTCAAAGACACTGTGGAAGTAGGAGCTGATGGTGTTTTCCACATTTATGTGCAAGTCCAAGGTCTTCCACACTCACTTTTCCCCCTCTGCCCTGTACCCAGTAAAACCTTTTTTTTGAATATTTATTTTTGAAAGAGAGAGAGAGAGAAAGTGCAAACGAGTGAGTGGGGTAGGGACAGAAAGGAAGGGAAACACAGATACTGAAGCAGCTTCCAGGCTCTGAGCTCTCAGCACAGAGTCCAAAGCAGGGCTCGAACTGACAAAATGTGAGATCGTGACCTGAACTGAAGTCGGACACTCAACCAACTGAGCCACCCAGGTGCCCCCAAATCTCCTTTTTTAATTGTGGTGCCAATAAATGTAATCACAATGAGATGTAAATTTCTAGGAATGTGATCAAATGTTTTCCTTAAGTATTTTCTTTAACTGGCTGACAAAATCTTAATTCAAATGAATGAAGTGTAACGATGGTATTTTGGAAATTAGTAGAGAGGTGTGCCAACAACTTTGAAAGAACAAAGAGAGAGGCCTTTACAGTTATTCCAAAGACCTACTATATAACCCACCTTACCCATGAATAAATTAATTGTTGCTAATTAATTGTTAAATTAAATTAAATTAAATTAAAT